TCTCTCTCTCTCTCTCACTCACCATGCTGAGTCAGTCATCACGTCACGTCCGTCAAAGGAGTAGATGGCTGTGGATGGGTTAAATGTACCTCCGTTCCCAGAGAAGATGGACATCCAACTACTGAACAACACCTCACCCTGAGTGGAGAGAATGATACAAGAAAACTGAATCATTTCCAAACTAGATGTGAGTAGTACATATACCATCTATTATGATGGCTGAGTGTAACTTTAAACCTTTAGGAACACAGTCTTACCCCTAAATAATGAAAAACCAATCAATGGTAAAAGTCCATTCCATAGAAGAAGAGTAGAAGTAAATGTGAACATAAAATTCTCCTCACCCTGAGATTAACCACAGGCATGTCAGTGCGGTCCGCCTTCCTCACGATGGTTGCCAGGTCCTGGAGGTGGGAGGACAGGAAGGCCCGGTAGGTGGCTGTCAGCCCCATGGAGCGTGCCTGCTGGTAGCACTGGAAGTCTGCGCCCCGGATCCCACGCATGTCCCCTTTTAGCGGGGCGTTCAGTGCCACCAGATGGAGCTGGGACAGAGGAAAACACAACAAATCAGACACATTATCCACCACTGCCAGGTAATGTTAAATATGTGGGATAGGTGTGTGTAAAGGTGTGTTTGTTACACTCACCCCAGGCACAGCGTTGAAGGTCTGTGGTAGAACATTATAGCTGGGCTGATATCCTCGATTGCCCTCTTGAAGCTCCTATTGAACAAACACATTAATTAGTATGTTGAGTTGTAAATGTGTTTCCAGAGATGTATGCATTACTCCAGACAGTCTAGAGCACAGCTGGATCGAGTCTTATTAGGTTTGGTATTGTCTGTTTCCTGCTGTGGCTCTTCTGTGTGTGTATGTGTGTGTGTGTGAGAACCTGGCTGTGGACCCTGTGGGGTCTGCTCCATTCTGCAGGTCTGCTGAGGGCCTGAGACGCTGCTGAGGACGAAGGTCCGCTCTGGATCAACTCTCCGAGCTGAAATGGGAACACACGCGTACACAGTTGATTTCACCAGTCAAATGTGCTCTCATTATATTAAATGGCACTTTAGATGATGACACAAATGTGACAAGGAGTAAACTCAAAGTTAATAAAGCTCTTCATATTCAGAGCTTGTAAAGCTTGTGAAAATTCAACGTCTCATGTACACTGATGATAAATGACAGGTGATACAGAGGAGGATCAGCACAGCCAACCTGGATCTTGCGCCAGCCGTTGCGCGTTCTGATATATAACTCTCCTCCCTTCTCAGACACGTAGACCAAGGTTCCCTCTGCAGCGCGGTGAGTCTCTCTGCTCAGAGCGTGGGCCGTCTTATAGGTGGTCACCTGAATGTACACAGCATCACAGCATCAGTGCTGTGCCTTCAGGACACTTTGGCAAATCATGGTAGAATGAGGTAAACAATGTCACTAGACAAGGGACCAGGGGTAAAGTGCCTAGCTCAACGGCAGGTATCTTACCGGGTTGGCATATCCTGGAGATCCTGGTGGGCCAGGAGGACCGGGAGGTCCGGGGATACTGACAGCTGATGATGACACATCAGAAATACATTTAACAGATACAAGACAGTCATGTGGTCTATAACTTTTATGGATCTAAGTCTCTGCGTCTCTCTCGCATACCTGATCCATATGCAGGTGCTGGTCCTGGGGGTCCAGCAGGGCCTGGGGGCCCACGGGGACCGGGTCGTCCAAACCCGGGGGCTCCGGGCTGGCCCTGAGAACCAACAGGTCCTGGTGGACCCACAATGGACTCGCCTTTTGGACCCTGCAGGAGTGTATAAACAGACATTTATTTAGTATCTGCTTTTAAGTTTGAGCTGAATATTTTCACTCTCTGGTGCAGCTGAACTGAATGAATAACTACTAACTAATTATCAAACTGTTTTCAGGATGTGACTCACCACAAGTCCTGACCTCCCAGGTAGTCCTGGAGGACCAGGCGGACCACTGTCACCCTTCTCTCCCTTCTGACCTTGGTATCCTGCATCACCCCTAGCACCCTGAGAGATCCACAAGAGAAGAGACAAAGAAACCAGCATACAGAAGATCAGCCACACACCCTTTAAAGATAAGTTCAGGAGAATCCAGGAGCTTATTTCATTGTCAAAATTAAGTCCTCTCTTGGGTTTTTATCCTCTAAAACTTTATGCCTCTCTGTTTATAAAAAGCACAGCCTCCCCCATTATAGCAAGAGCCAATGAGAATTACATAAATTCATTCAGTAGTTTCTTAATGATAGCTCACCGTCTAAGTTGTAAAAACACAAGCATGAATGATCTGATAATCAGATCAGTCAGTGCTCAAGAGAACAGGCTTCCAAAATAAAACTTTCTTGGAACAACATTCATTCATTTCTGTGACCATTTTCAAGCAGCAGAGGTGTACAACATGGAAGCCAACAGTTGCCTGTTACACACTGAGCATGACTGAACAACAAAAGCCTTTATTTGGGCTCATGGTTCTGGCCACCTGATTGAATTAAGTCTCCACCGACTCTTAAGAGAAATAGCTGTCTCTTCAGATGCTTAATGCTCCGCTATGTTTACCAGGTAGTCGCTTTCTTTGTCAGTACAGTGGCTAATAGCTGAAAGAAGCTGCTTGCTGTTGGTTAGAACAGCGAGAGTGAACCAAAACGGTAAAGAAGTGGGCCCTAAACCCAAAAGAATGAGCGCAGAGGCACCAACACTGAGGTGAACTGCAACTCCATTGTTCAGTGCACCTTTAACATGACATGTTGCTGCTGTTTTAAGCAACAAATCAGTACTTACCACAATTCCATCTGGAAACCCGGGCGCTGAGAAGAGAAATGACACGCCATAAATGTTACTGTTAAGTTTCTGCAGTCATTTATTATTTACAAAAATGTGTTTTTAAGTAAATCAGTTTAAATCAAATGGGTACCTAGGTGATAGAGGAAGTCAGTGGTAGTAAATGCTGTAAAGGTCTTACCAGGTTTGCCTGGCTCTCCAGGTACTCCCATATCTCCTTTGTCTCCTTTAGCACCCCCTGTCATTGACTCCTACACACAGAAACACGCACATGCATTAACATTACATGGATACCAGCATGTGATAGCAGACAAACACCAATGTTAAAATTGATCAAACTTGGGTTATAATTAAATAAGACAACAGTTAAATCAGCTCTGCAAAAACACCTGTTAAACACAAGGGATGCATGCTTTAGGCAGCAGCATGTACAGCCGTCTCTGGCTGTGGTGGTTAAAATACGACAGGTTAGGTAACAGGATTAGGTGTCTAAATGTCTTTACAAAATAGATCTTGGTTCAAAAATGAATTAATTTAAACTACTTTTTAATGGGGGAATGTGTTTTACAATAACTGTCAGTGCTTCCTGGAGAACCCTGCCAGACACCTGCCTGCTGCTGTTTTAAATTAAAATTGATACTAGTATGCGTCCTTACATCACACTAATAGCTGTCAGTAGCATTCTGCACATAGCTCAAGTGGAAAATGACATTTAGAAGGTGTTAACTTTATGATGGATGCAATCTGCTGTCGACAACCATCAAATCATGATGATTTGCACACATGATAAATGATGTCCTGTGGTATAGTTGATTATATTTTCAGGGCCTTGACACACTTCTACTACTTCTTCTGCTACTCCAGAAGACAGCTGGGGCAATCCCAGATTAGTCAAAAACTGTATATGTAAAATGAGGGCAACATGCTCCTAATAGATTATTAATATCAAATTGTTACTAACAAATGTACTGTAAATTATAGGACCACCTCCCCTGTTTGTCAAATAAATCACTGCAGCAGTTAAATGTGTGGTTGCTCACATATTCATGACAGTTGCTTTGAGACTTTCAACAATTAACAAGGCAATAAAATACATCATGAGATTTAAATGTATAAACCTGCAGTACAATACAAGCTCTTATACAATTATATTTCCCATCAAATTTCACATTTAACCCTCATTCTACAGACTGGGCTATCCACAGAATAGAATAGATAGAACTATTTATTAATTCAAAGTAGCACACACTATCAGGGCAGGTAGGGGCACTGTCATTGCCCCTACCCTGTCGAGATTTCCTTATGTGTCTATTTTAACTGTACTATCCTAAAAAAATAATTTGTTGTTTTTCTTCAGATGACATTATTATCAATATTAGTATTAATAACTAATAGTGTTTTGAGAAGAAATAAATTAACATTTTGGGGGTCCCCGAGGATCCCAGTGTTTGTATGTTAAATATGTTGGTAGGATGAGGGTTAAATGTTGGCACAGTTATATTGAACTTCACACAGTAACTGGTACTTTGATTTGAATTTGTGTATAGTCCCTGCAAAGAGCCCGCCACCAGTTTATCCGATTGGAATTCAGCCAAGTAGAAACTGCAGCGTCACCTTCAAACAGAACGCACACACCCAGCACTACGACAGACACCATTTCTATCTACAGGGGTGGAAGAAGTACTTAGATCTCTGGCTTAAGTAAAGGTAGCAATTTTAAAGTGTACAAATAACATTTAAAAAATAGTCCTGCATTCAAAGTACAGTAAAGTGTAAAGTATTCATTTAGCAAAATGACCCATTTTAGAATAATATAGATTACTGGATCACTTTAATGTTGCAGTTTATTAAGGTGGGGCTAATTTTGCATTACTGTATATGTATTGTGTAGCTTAACCGATAATAATGTGTCAGATTTTATTCTAAATAATAATATTCTAAATCTGCAAAGTAACTATTGAATCTATCAAATGGATGGAGTCGAGTAAAAATGATTAAATATTTCCCTCTGAAATGTAATCCAGTAGAAGTATAAAACAGGATAAAATGGAATTACTCAAGTACCTCAAAACTGTAGTATAGTACTTGATTAAATGTACTTAATTACTTACCACCACTGTCTACCAAGTGAAAGGCAGGCCAGAGTTTGATATATCTCACTTTAAATACAATCAATTAAGGAAATAGCTTTTCTTTGAAAGAAATACAAATGTAAAGCCTCTAATGGCCCACATTTTAGGAGTATATTCTCTATGAATTCCTTTTCTGAATTGATTGAACTGAAAAGTGATTCGGCACCAACTCTGATGTACATAGAGTAGAAGTAGTAGTTGATGAGTATCAACAATTTTCACCCAGCTTCCTCCTCCTGATATGATGGGGACAGTAAGGATAGACAAGGCAAGCAGGACTCAGACTCAGACCCCCCTTTGACCCCTGCCATTAACATTCATCCTGGGTGATGATGAAGACTAGATTTAACAAACTCACAGAACATCTTGGTGTAAATGAACCCAAGATGCAGCAAAAGATTGGAGCAGCCACATCAGGTGGCTAATGCATCTATATCTGGCAACTATTCTCAATACATTTTGTATGTAGATCCAATCAAAAATATGTGTCAGGTAGATAAGATAATGAAATCCATATCTAGATACAACCTGCATACAAGAGGAATGTTAACGCAGTGACAGGGGAGAGCCAGGAGGGGGGAGAGGAGAAAATGAAGGGAGGTAAAAGAGATGGGAGTGCTGTTTGTAGCCCAGACCAGAGAGCTGCCATGCTGCTACACCCACACACCAACAGAACCACCGGATGGTCCCATTTCAAACTGAAACAGACCAATCAGATGGTCCGACTCAGACTTACTCGTCCCTTTTTGCAGTGCGGTCTGGGGCGCACCGGAAACACTGTCTTTAAAATTCAAAGCAGAGCAGTGTAGTCAGACTAAAAGATTGCAACTGTTAGTTGGAATGAGGCAAATACTGTTCTGTAGATGATCTTTAAGGACAAAAAAACACAATCTGACTTCCAATGATACTGGTGCTACACAGACTGATACCTACAGATACACAGTTCTTTTTTAAAGCCAAAATATGTTTCAAATGATTCAGATGGCTCATAGAAATAGTGAAAAAACCCAAAGTCATATTTTTTTTAATTCTAGTACACAACGCTGCATTAAACATTTATAACACTCATTTTCTATGGTTACAATAATACAGATCATTCCAGGATTTCTACCATTGAAATTATTATTTTTTTGTTATCAATTGTTGTTTGTTTTTTTTCAAAAATGGGTAGGACAACTGAATTAAAATGCATTTTCATGATCAACATATATTTGTGAAACAGACTTTTAAATATTGGAATGTTAAGTGTTTATCATAAAACATTTAAGTTTATCATGATCAATGTCATCATCATCCCTGTCCACCAACTGAAAATGACAAATAGAAGAAATAAAAAGCCACAAAGGGAAACTTACTCCGCTCAGGCCAATAATTCTTCCTGGCAGTCCAGGTGGGCCCGGAGGACCTGGAGGTCCCTGAGACAGAGAGAGACAGTATTAGCACATGCCACATCTCATGTATCAGACAGACAGACAACACACAGCTCCAAAGTAAAGTGAAAAGGAACTTAAAGCTGCAGTAGGTAACTTTTATAAAAATAACTTTTGTCATATTTGTTGAAAATTTCACTACATCCTGACAGTAGTACATGAGACCTGTGAAAAAGTCAGGTTCCTCTGGCTCCTCCTAGTGCTCCTAATGGCATTGGCAAGAATCCACCGGGCCTGAATGAAAACAACTAATCAAGACCAAAAAAGATAGTTGATTGTTAAGTCTCACTCTCAGGTTGTCAAATACTGGCGCTTGGAATAAAACTCAACAATCACCTGTCTTCAGGCCTCCAACCTAAAATGTCTTTCTATCTTTATTTTCATAAAATGTACCTACTGCAGCTGTAAGGTACAATCAGTAATCCTAATGTAAACAAAAGTTTCCCCCCACCACCAAATATCTGTCTGAAATGGTCAAATAGATTACTGATTAGGGCTTTAACAACAGGAAAATCTTAGGTTTTTGCTTTTCTTCTTACTTGTACTCCGACAGAATCTCCTCTGTCCCCTTTTCTCCCAGGCACACCAGGTCGTCCCTGCAGAAAGAGAATGAAACACATGTGTTTTGTGCAGTGTGTAGTGCATAGCATGTAATAGATTATCCTCCATCGCTTATTTGTTTAATTACTCAGACATTATTTTAGAGATCAATCTTGATTAGAGAATCAGAATCTTAGGTTATGGGTGTGTGGAAGGTTCCTCACTTAAAAGCTACTTACAAATGAATAACTAAGATTTCTCTTAGCACTAAGAAGTACTGTACATGTCATTCCTGCATTGATTTTTGAGTACCAGTGCCTCAGTAAACTCTGTACCTACAAAGCAGATGTTCATATACTGACAAATATACACAAACAGGCACTCACTGGGCGACCGGGGAAGCCATATTCTCCTTTCTGTCCAGTTGGTCCAATTGGGCCCTGAAATAAACAGAAAGACAGTGATGTACACATTATTTATATTCCCTTACTTTCTCCCAGTAGTTCAAAACAATAAGAATAAAGAGGGTTGTGTATAGGCTGTCCATGGAACATGATTTTACAGATGATAAAACATTGGTAAATTATAAATTCATGTTCTATTTAATGTGAACTCACCATTAGTCCAGCAGGTCCAGTGAACCCACGGTCACCCTATGACATTACAGAGCAGTACAGGTTGAGATTTACATTCATGGCAGTAATGAACATGTTTTCAAAGACTAGTTTCTGTGGTTGTAGATTTAAATGACTTCTTTCTCCAGAATACTGTAACAGTCACCAATGCTAGATACTTCCTAAGTCCCGCCCCTTTTTGCTCCAATAACAGCCTCAGTCAGAACCTCAGTCAACATTCTCCTTTACTGTGTTTAGATATGCTATGAGCTCGACTCGTCTTAAGACAACCAAATCTGGAAGCAGTTAAAAGATAAAAGCGACATATACATATAGTCACAAGTTAGCTAATGTTAGCAAAATACTAGCTAACTAGCTAGCAAACTAACTTTAGCTTTCAGATGTAACAAGCTAACAATGAATTGATGTAGATTAGCTAGTGTGCATACAGAACCTGCTGATATACAGCTGTGCAGGTAGACTGCAGGTAGAGTTATGTGTGGTGTAAGGATTCAGGCTTTATTTATTGGAGGCATCATCTTACTGTCACTGACCACCGCAGCAGTCACTGAGTTATGTGTCAAATAGGTTCACTTGTGTGGTACCTTGCTGCCTTTGGGACCCTGGGGGCCTCTTGGTGCTGATAAGATGGAGCCATCAGCAGCAATGGTCACCCCCGGCTCTCCCTTTTCTCCCTGTTAATGCAAAGAAAGAGACATTGAATGTTTATATTTTTCTGCATATACAGTGGGGCCTCCTTGTCTCAACTGTTACAGTTCAATAACATTTATTTTGTTTTTAGAAGTGACATATATTTGTTAAAATCATTATAAGCATTCAGACTTCACTCTGGGGTCTAGTTCTCACCTTGAACCCTGCTGGCCCCTGGGTACCAGGAGGGCCCACGTCTCCCTTTGGTCCCCTGGGGCCCTGAGGAGGGATGAAACAGTAGTGAGAAAGAGTTTTGCGAGGATGATAGCATTTTAGGAGGAAGGCTGTGGAGCTTGTAAATTCTACAGTCAATTTTTCACAATTCCATTCAAATAACCTAAAAGGAAAAAACACCTTCCTTCACAATAACATTTGCAGCACTGTGGGTACCTACCCTGTTTAGCCCAAAGATAGCAAAAGCAAAATTGGGAGAAAAAAAAGTTACATTGCTTTCAAATAACTGTTGCATCTTTACTGTAAACTGTAAAATCTTCATGTACACACTTCTCTCACTTCTCAGTCTACAGGTGATACAAATGCTTAGCATAAGGTTGTATTGCAAAATGCTCTTACAGGAAATCCAGCTCTGCCAGGCAAGCCTTCAGGGCCCTGCAACACGCAGACACAACACACACATACATACACACATACACACATGCATGCATGCACAGACATGAACACAAATGCAAGCAAAAGCAGAGGGGCTCGGTTAATGATCTTTTCTGACAAAGGCAGGAATTACATGCTCATACACAGCATCATCGAACACAACTGCAGCCAAAGCACTTCCAAAATGCACTGATGATGCTACAGTAAAGTATATTTGGAGTGATACAAGGGTTATATTGCTATATCGTAGGTACAATTACAGTAAAATGTTATAGTATTGTAAAAGACATTGTCACTTTGCAATAATAGCTTAGTGTTACGCACCATGGGCCCTGGTGGTCCTCTGATCTCTGTGAAGTTGAAGATACCATCTGTAACATTGAGAAGCAGCTGCACACAGAATATGTGATGAGTAAGTTTGGGGACTGTTAGAATGTTTTACATATTCAGAGATTTGTAGAATTATCCAGTAAATGGGGCTTCCTGTGGCATTGCAGGAAAAAACTTTCCCCAAATCTGAGAATGTCCCTGTGAGTTGTAAGGTAACACAAAAGAATTTCAGAAAAATGTGTGTCTTTAGTGTGTGTGTGTATATGTGCGTGCGTACATCTTGCAGATTAATCAGAGATCCAGGAGGTCCAGGAAGCCCAGGTGGTCCTGGTATACTCAGTCCATCAGCGCCTCGATCACCCTTCAGAACACAAAACAGAGATGTGTTAGTCCTTTATCAAAATTATAATAAAAACAAAAATTGGACCATCTGGCTTGGAAGGAAGCCTACCTGATAAATAAAAGTCCCAAATTCACTCTTTTAGCTCTGTACTCATGAGGCAAATATCTGGCTCTTTAGCTGCTAAATGCTCCACTATGTTCACAGCTACTCACTAACTGTTCTCTGAAAGCAGCTGCCTGCTGTGGCTGAAAACAATGCTATGGGCAGCTGAACGATGAACACTATAACCCGCCCCTTTCACATTGTAATTTGGTACATTGTTATTACAAAAATGTCGAATATAGCCGCTAAACATCCAGCTATCACACTGTGCGGACTGCATTAGTCAGATATTATTATTCACACATTATGTTTGTTGCAGACCCACCTTCGGTCCTGGACTGCCCTTTTCTCCTTTGGCCCCCTGATTGTAGTGTAAAGACAAATAAAAAGTAATTAATGTGTCAGTTCAATAATGTCTTTCACATATTATCACACTCTTTGTGAACAGTGTAGCCAGTTCATTGCTGTAACGTACCAGGCAGGATACACCATACAAATATTCACCAGTTCAAAGACAGCTTACAAATACAGTAGATTTACAAATGAATGGATGTCACTCTTGTTACCTTCCTTGCCACATTCAAGGCGTTTATGGTGTCATTCCCATATGGCATTCCTGATTCTGTACTACTGCTACTGTGTGTACTGTGTTGGAAGCTAGCTCGCTGTTTACAACTGCTTCTAGTTTTGCTTCTAGTAGTTTTTGCTTCTATCTTCTAGCTGGACATCTAATCTGAATGCACAGAAATTAAAGTGATGTCTTAAATCCTAAAACAGTAAACCCAGTTTTCCAAAAGCATAATTACAGAATTTGTAATTATAATCCCCATTACTGCCAACACTGATTGGAACCATCATTGTTGTCTGTAAGAAAAAAGTGTTTCCAAATGACCACTACACATTTAAATGCTTAAATGTAAATTACTGCCTTAACATTTGTGACCTTCTATTTTCATTACCACAACCAGTGATTCTAAAGTGTGCAGGATACGTTTGAGTTAATCACACATGACATTTCCATATCTGTCCACATCATCAGTTTATTTGAAACATTTGTCAAACCTTGTTCAGGTCTAAGAGTGAACAAACTACTTTGGAGCCAATAATTGCAAATCATATGCACATTTGTTGTGTAAACACCTGCTACTTACCCTAGCTCCTGGTAGTCCAGCAGGACCCTGAAGACCCTCTGGCCCTGGGTCCCCTGGCTCACCCTGCAGTCCCACCCAGCATAGACAGAGACACAAAGGTTGAACAGAGCACAAGTGATTTCACTGTTTCTCGTGTTTTTTTTATAGTAATTTTTGGGGCTTTTATTCCTTTATGATAGTGGACAGCCAAAGATAGACAGGAAAGGGGTGCAGAGGAGAGGGGGATGACATGCAGCAAAGGGCCACAGGTCGGATCCGAACCCTGGGCCGCTGCAGCAAGGACTCGGTATATGGGTCGCCAGCTCTACCCACTGAGCTAACGGGGCGCCCACTGTTTCACATGTTTAACTTGGGTTGCATACATAGTATGTAGTCTATTTGTTAGTCATTTTAAATTTAAATATTTGATTCTTTCATAATTCATGAGAAATACTTTTCATGGACATCTTTCACTGTTTGTCTCAGTGCTCTATTTGACATAGAAATCTAAAGCAGCCCATTCATCAGCTTAGAATCAGTTTACCTTTACGGAGAGCCCTGGAGCCCCTGTGGCTCCGTCCTCACCCTGTGGAAAACATAAGAGCATCTTCAACTACTGAGCAAGAAGTAGCGTTAAAAAGCAAGGGCACATCACTCTCAGAGGAATCATACAGACTGTATGCTATAGTAGTTAGTGTTATTTTCAATTAGCTAATAATAATGTGTACATTTAATGGATTTTAATAAATGTATTACCTTAGGTCCCTGTGGACCAGGTAGGCCGGGGGGTCCCTGGAACAAAAACAAAACAGAAAACCTTACTATATATAAAACAATATACACAGTCTACATAAAGCACACACACTCTTGCACCGACCTGTGGGCCTTTGCCTCCAGCTCCAATGAGCATGTCACTCTTCCCAGATCCCTCCATATCCTGAAAATGTAAAGGCACATGTTACGGACTGAACTGAAATCTTGTAGATCCATGTGGGGAGGAAGGTTTCCTTTGCTCCTTTGAGTCACCTCCACAAAGAACTTGGTTCCTGGAGGTCCGGGGGGGCCAGGTGGTCCTGGGGGACCTGATGAGCCTCTCTTGCCCTGTGGACCAGTAGGCCCTGGTGGCCCTGAGGGCCCTGCTGTACCCACTGTCCCACATTCACCCTGCAGTGATAAAGAGAAATGGGAAATTAGTTTTCGCAAAAAAAACGCCTTGTTAACTCAGACTTTCCTTTTTCCAAACTAAAATACAACCAGAAACATGTTTAATATAGGAAATAAAATACAAAAGCACATTGTGTGCAGCTAGCTTTTTTGGCTGTTGAGTGGTATTTTACCTTTGGTCCAGATGGCCCAGGTAACCCTTGGTCACCCTAAAGATGTAAAGATGTAAAGAAGGAAGAAATAAAATAAATATTAGTTCTGGAGTAAGCAATGGTGGGCCGTATAAGATCAATAGAAATAGAGGCAGTCCATATATGATGGAACATGGGCATCAAACCAGCTGTATGTATAGTAGGCTATAGAATATTATCAGTAAGCCGTTTGTAATCAGCTTTAGCTCCTCATTAACCTTGTGAGGCTGGACTTGCGAGCTCACAAGAGAATCCATCTTACCATGCACTTGTGTCTGATCCACAGTGGTACCGGATCAATCAGCATCCCATGAGGAACTACTGGCAGCTACAGCATGATCTACAGGTGTGGTTTAACGCTCGGTGTGTGTGTGAGAAGTGACTGTTTACTCGAACAATAATAGCAGCTGATAAAGCAGTTAGCGTATATGCTTTATCTTAATGGAAAAGATGTTTCAGGCAAAACAGGGATGGACTATGTGATTTTGATATTGCCCTCTGAGGCCAGGACACAATCCATCTTGATGATCATACCTTCTCTCCCACAGCTCCAGGTAGACCTGGAGCCCCATCTCTTCCTGCTAGGCCCTGGACACACAAATACAGACAGACACAAGTAGACGTAGACAAAAAACTGTGATAAGTCATGAGAATATGCTAGTATAGAAAAACAATAGCAATATGATGCTAAGCTGTTTGTTGACCCTTTAGCCATTCCAACAGGGACCAACGCCAAATCCAAAGGTGACGATTAGTCACTTTAAAAGGAATACTCTAATTTTTGGGACACTGAAAGTCTGACGTTAAGTTGTAAGATTATCCATGCCAACATTTTTCTGATTGAACGCAAGATCATTAACCTCCCATCATGCTCACACTAGTATGGATGTGTGATTGTTGATTAGTGTCACTTTCAAGTAAGACCAACTGTGTTGTGGTATCACATATTAGTTATTATTTTACCAACTGACAGACACAAAACTGACTTTTTTAAATTTAAATGTACTGCTTATTGCTCATATTGCTTACTGTCAATCAGCTGAGATGTAGCATGAAACAGTGAAGTCAGCAACCTTAGAGGCAGGGATGATTTTGTCGTCTGTTTTCTGGAACTGAACTTATTAAAAATTAGAGTATTCCTTGTAGAAGTAAGCAGCATCAGACCAAAGTACAGCAATATTACTGTACAATGTTTTTGTACCAACTGAGAAACACAGTGTACCAGAGGCCTGTACCAAGGCACACTGAAATAATGACTGCTGACACATTGCTCATAGATCATTGGCTTGGTCTTTCTAAATCATTACTCAGTGGTTCTCAACCTTTTTCCTTAAGGGACTCTTTTACTGTCACTGAGTAAACTGATGACCCTAAGTGACATATTTTATGGATATTTCACATTATTTTCAATGAATAACACAATTTTGAGCTGATTTATTATTATTATTTCCATTAATTATCTGTCTGTATTATGTATTTTGAAATCATGCATACTTAATAGGCTTCTTTTGGAAAGATTGAGTGTTTTCTTCTGTGTACTTTTCTAATTCAGGACAAGGCTGTTTAGCAGAGAGTGAAGGCTCTGTGAATATAGCTTGTGTTCAGGTCTTCACAGTGCCCTTATCTTGTGAGATTCAAGTTTATATCTTAAATAATATAAAAATAACAATTTCGTTTAGTTTTCTTGACAGAAATAACTTAGATGCTGAGATATAGGACAAGTGTATATTTAATTTAAAAAAAGGTTTCTCACACGCCTTAAAATCAAGAATCTGTGAAGCTTTGGTGACCCCTAGTGAGGACCCCCAGGTTGGGAAATGAAGCTAGTAATAAGTTATAAATAAATAATAAAATATGTAATAAATGAACTAACTGAGTTTGGCAAAATGGGAGCATTTCAGTATGCCTTGGTACTTTGCATTGACTGAAACAGGCAATGTACAGCAATATACAACAAGAGACCATAAAGTAGATGAGTGAAAAGGCAGATTTGCTCCATTACCATGTTGTATGACAGAAGCAAAATGGCAGCTCAAGCTGAGGTTATACAGCAAGTCTGAGGTCAGCTCCCTTTAGTTCATTCACTTTACCATGAAATGTTTCAGTTAATGACAACATTTGAACTGAAAGTAGATGAACTGAAAGTAACTGACAAGCGCGCGCACACACACACACACACAGCACTTCAGCCAGCTAGGTAACAGTAACATTTGCAGTTTAGCCTGCTGCCAGCCAGCAATTAAGACAACATGGTTGGAGATAATGTACAGTCATTAGCCTGAGCATTAGGGAAAAGAGCTACAGTCTTTACCACTTGTGTCACTGTTTTAACGATATTAAAGCACAGCTGATATGAATAAAACACTGTGATTGTCTCAGATTAACATTTAATATTTTTCAAATATGTAGAGGAGACTTACACTTCCTCAATACTAAGGCTCTGGACTGTAATTCTGCCTTTTAATTGTTTGCTGGTTAACCCGGCAAACCAGGACAATATACCTCGCCTGAACCCCAAGCAGACCCAAAGTCAAACCCAGAAGCAGAGGCAAAACTGGATTCAGAACTGAACACAGAGCCGAAGCCTGAGCTGAGGTCAGAGGACAACTCTGAGCTCAAACCTGAGCCATCAGACCCCGAACCACTAAACAAATCCTCAAACATCTGCAACAGAGCGGGGAGGAGAGGAAGAGGTGGCAGGAGGTGGAAAAGAACAATGAGGATGGGGGAAGAAACAAACTAAAGGTAAATTTTAATTGAAAATAGGGACAACTAAATTTGAATAAAAGCAGAGACTGAAAAGGTGGAGGAGACAATAGACACACACATAATCATAACAAAGACAGAAATACAGCAACACCACAAGTAAAACATAAAGGGAAAGGCAATACACACATCATTCAAATGTCAGTGTCATTGATTTTTTTTTTTTTACAGTATGCAAACCTTCCAACAGCTTTTATTTATGCTTTTCATTTCCTATGCCTTCAATCTGTATTGTAATCATTGTGTAATTGTGGCTGCTCTTTCTAAGTGAATATAGACTTGACAGCTGATGGATGCTCAGAACCAGTCAGTGTAATATTTAGCCTCACAATTATCTAATGCATGTACACCCAGACATGTATAGCCAATGCTGTGCTCACATTATATAAACATATTAAAACATTATCATTATCATAAATTAATTTAAAGTTAAATACTATATGTCTTTTATTCGGGTAACTTACTGGTAGACCAGGTTTGCCTGGGAGCCCGTCTGTGCCAGGGGCACCGGGTGGTCCTGCATTCCATACAGTAAAGCCTTCGGCTGTGTCAGATGATGACAGGTTGGGTCCAGGGGGGCCAGGCGGTCCTGGAGGCCCTGGTACACCAGGAGGGCCCTGGTGGAAAAGGAATTTGTATTTTTTGCACCATGTAATTATTTACTATCAGACAAACCCATCTCTCTCTGCAGCCCTTCTCTTACCCTGATGAGTTCAGTGTCACTGTCCAGGTCCTCAAACCCAGAACCCAGGGCATCTGCTCCATACTGTAAGACAGATAAAAACAATACATACACGCAGATGTTTGTGATGCTTCACTTGACCCTCATCTACATTTAGTACGTGTTCATTTCATCACTAAAAAATGCAAGCATAATATGATGAGTGCATGCTATGTGTACAAACAAAAATACATAATAAGACCATAAACTGTGATACTCACTGGTACACTGCGTGATCTGGGGGGTCCAGGAGGCCCAGGGAGTCCGGGAGGGCCTGGTAAACCAACTCCTTGGTCTCCCTGTACAGAGGGAAAGCAGAAGGAAGATCTGTCTTTTGCAGTACATTTGGTGATAAAATAAAAGTGAATATCTTTTGAATGAAGAGCTAACCACTTGTAATAGGTTTGTCAGTGTGACCATTTTAAACATACCTTCTCTCCTTTAGCTCCAGCTTCTCCATCCAAACCTGAAAAACCTTGAGATCCTTTCTGACCCTGGATGTAAAAACACACTTCAGTCATGTGATATAAAGCAGAGCAAAGAAGAAAGAGAGAACTGAAGAGATAAATAACTTACTGGATCTCCCTTTTCACCCTTGATCCCCTGTGATGATAGAAGGACTTGGGATTAGTGCTAAAGGTTCTGAACTCAGAGATTTATAAAATGATGGCAACACAAAAACCCACACACCTTCTGTCCATCTCTCCCTGGCAGTCCTGGGGATCCAGGGATTCCTGGCGGCCCTTGTGTCCCTCTTGGTCCAGGCTGAGTTTTCCCAGGCAGAGGGGTGGGGCCTGGTGGGCCAGGTGGGCCTCTGGGTCCAGGATCTCCACGCTCTCCTTTTAACCCATGCCTGACATGACCCTGGAAATTCAAATAAAACTTATGTATGATTTATTTGTGTAAAGAACACAGACATTTGTCCAGAATATCTGAAATATATTTGGTACTTAAATAATATTATTATAATAATATTTGAAGTAACAGGTCTGAACTTACATCTCCTGACCTCTCCCCTGGCTCCTCTGTCTGGTGTGGCCCTGTGGATATAGCATATGACATCACCAACAGGTTTGACCAATCAGATTCTTACGTATGAGGTAACACTGGCCATACTGTAACTTGTAATGTGCTGTAACAGATGATTTTAGACAATCACAGAGCCAAATAGCCAAATATTGCTTCAAGTACTTATTAGCTGATGCTGGTACTATAATACTTGCTGCATCTTATTGCATGTTGCTGCTTTAAAAAAAAAATGTCATCATCTGCTTCTATCAGGATGAACTAAGTAATTACAACTGTAGGAACTGGCTTTTTGATCTTCATTTAAAGCTGCAGTAGGTAATTTTTCTAAAAGTAATTTTTTGTCATATTTGCTGAAACTTTCACTATATACCGACAGTAGTACATGAAACAGATATTCTGTGAAAAAATCAGGTTCCTCTTGCTCATCCTAGTGCTGCTAAGAGTATTTGCAAGAATCCCCTGGGGCGAACAAGCCAGAGGAACCTGTCCTTTTTTCTTTTCTTTTTTTTTCCTTTTTTTTTTTTAACATATTATCTGTCTCATATACCACAACAACGCAAAATTGAGAAAAAGTTAATTTTATAAAAAATCACCTACTGCAGCATGAACTAGTATAATGATCTTTTTGTAGCATCACTGTAGTAGAGCTGCAATGTGCCTTGCTTAAAGGTAGAGCTCACCCCAAAATAAAAAATGTGTCTGAAATGCTATTTATCCATCTAGATTGATTTGGTGCGAGTTGGAGAGTTTTGGTGATATCAGCCGTAGATATCTCAACCATAATGGAACCGGATGGCACTCAGCTTGTGGAGCTCAAATGCCAAAAAAAAGACATTTTAAACCTCAGCAGCAATGTCTGTTTCCAGAAAAAATTCTACAACCAATATCTCCACAAAAAAAAACTCATGCCAAAATAATCTAAATGGATAAATAGTGCTACAGGTAAGAGGAAAAATATGTATTTTTAATTTTGGGGTGAACTGTCCCTTTAAGAGTACCTTGCTAGAGCCAAAGAAGGTGAGCTACTCTTTCATTTCCTCGACCCAGATACTAGCCCTGACATCAAAAGGATCACAAGCCTGCTTCTCTAAGCTTTAGGCCCCTGTTGAAGTAGCTAATGAAAACATTAAGTACAGATAGATACAGTAGGAATTGTTCTTTGCCCTGATGTAGATCATTTAGTATAAAATCTATGGACACTGCCAAGGAACTGTAAGTACAGTAAGTGTGTTTGCTATACACACTGATAAAATCATAGAGGTTCCATTATCTCCTAAAGAAGAACACAGAAAAACTGAGGTTCATTCTGACCTCTCAGTATGTCACTGGCCTCTGTGGGGGTCTGGTGACCGGAGTACTCATCAAGCTCCACCTCTGGAGCCTCGGTGGGTGGAGCTCTGACTGGAACACTGTCCTCCTCCTCAAAGAAATCAAGAAGATGAGTGGGTTAATGGGTCACGCACGTTTAAGGGTTCCCACTCTTTTTAAGAAATCATTATCCAGGATCTTTCTTGACAATACAGGACAGCACTTTCTCACAAACGATCATATAATTTCATTAGGCTTAATATTGATGCCTTTAACCCAGGTTCATCACAGCGTTTAAGGGACACTTGTGTTAGCTCACTTTTCACTATATTTTTCTGCAGCATCTACAGTGATTTGACTACAGATTACTACAGTTTCCTCTAACCCAGGTTTACGTAGGGGATCTGAGTGATGGGCTAAAAAACAATTCAAATTTTCCAAGACAACATAGATTACTTCCAGGATATTTGGCCATTTTAATTCAATTTCCAGGAGTGTCCATGTTTGAAAATGCTGAATTCAAAGTACAGAATCTAAAAATATCAAATCATTTGACATTGTCTGTGCTATTTATCAACACTGTTGCTGCTGAACGTCTCCAGACCAGAGAGAAAGCATCTACACTACCATGACTCTAATATCTGGTAACATCTATCCAGCTTCTCTAGGACTGTTTCCTTTGAAGCTTCAAAGTCACTGTTGATTATGGGATGTTTGGGGTCAGACTGACTTCCTGGTTGTGGGAGAATAAAACATGGCAACGGAACAAAGAAGAAACGCACACACAAACTGCTGTTTTAGGGTTAATAAGCAAAGGGGTGTGTATCAAACACAGCAGTAGACACAACAAGCTGACACACACGCACATACCCTAACAGACTAAATGCATACATCCATCCAGTACATCTCTTTTTCAGGATCACCATATTCTTTCAACTGGCAAAGGAACCACAACTTTCCTGCACTTCATCTCAGCAAACCTACCCGTTCTGTGCCATGTTTCCTCTCCTGTGTGTTCTTCACCATTTCCTCCTCTGTCTCTCTGTCATCCAGAGCATCGTCTCCACTGGTGTATCCTGAGGCCTTTATCAAATATCACAGTATGCAAGTAAGCTGCAAATATTCAATGTAGGAATTGTAACATACACAGAGGGCAGGAAAAAACATCAGGTTGTCAGATTACTGCTGAAGTGTAAGAGGACCATTTATGCTGAGTAAAACAGTTGACCACTAGGGGGTACTGTTGATTCATGTGTATGTTATTTCTCTATTATCACTATCAAAAAATCCAGTTTTGTCTTTAACAGTGGGTTCCTGTGTGTGTATGTGTGTGTTTCTCACATAGGGATCGTCGTCCTCACACTGCTCCTCAGCTGCTCTGGGATCATCTTTTATCACCAGCTGCTGAATGGATCCCTGGAGAGAGAGGGAGCGAGAGAGAGAGTCCTCTGAAAAACCTTGGGTGGGTTATACAGGTATAATGCATACACTGAACTATCATCTTAATCTAGAAAGTAACTGAGTTAATATACTTAAGTACTGTGTCTTAGGAGAAATTGAGGTACTTTACTTGAGTCTTTTTTGTTTTCATGCCACTTTCTATTTCTACTTCACTACATATTGGGAGATATTTTTTTACTTCATTACATTTATCAGCTTTAGTTACTAGTTACTTTTATTTTCACACAGAACACACACTAAGAATGTATAAAATCATGTAGTAATGTGTTTTAAAATAAAGACACAACAGTAAAGTGGAAACTATTAGTCAGTAAGTCCATTTTGATAACTGTACAAAACAGTTCATGGTTGCAGCTAAAAATGTGAGGATTCTCTGTTTTCCCCTTGAATCATTTAAGTAATGTAAAGTAAATTTATTTGTAATAATTTTGAGGTTTACAACATGAACAAAAAAAACATACATACGTTAACTTGAATGTGAATGTGTTACTTTGGGTTCTGGGTAATTCTGATGGCATTTCTCACTGTGCAAACCAAACAATCAATCAATCTGATTAATGGAGAAAATAATCAGCAGATGATTCCATAATCCATAAAAATTAGTTGCAGTCGTATCGTCGGGGAGAGTTTAAATAGACAAGAACTTTGTTTCCATTCAGTTGCTGTCATCAAGAACACATCTCTAAAGCAGTGGTTTTCAAACTGGTGGGCAAAGAGCCACTGCAGGGTGGGCATTGGTGACCAGAGGGAAGAATGCCAAAGGCACACCCAAAGATGCATGAAAGTGATTAATGCGGTATATAAACATAAACAACCAAAAGTGCTGTAATGAAATAAATTATTTGGCTCTTATTTGGCTCTAAACACAGGAGCGGCACACACACAATGAAGAACAGTTTACTTGCTGATATCACTATAGAGACCAGATTTACATGACACACCACATGCACACCACTCAAACTCACAGCATAGTAGTAATAGTGCTGTTCTATACAGCTCGATGGGGACATGGAGACAAACGTCAATATATTTGGGTCAACATGCAAGCCATTTAACATTAACACAGGAAGGCATGCTAAACAGGGCCCCATGTCATTACGGCTCTCCTTTGAAGCCCAAGACAACAAACCAAAGACACATACACACAAACAGAGTGACCCAGATATTTCAGACTGGACATGACTGATGCCGAACATGCACATATTCTGTCGTCATGGTTCAGATAACCCGTTCACAAAGTCAGGCTATGCTGAACAAAGCAGATAAAAGTTGGAATGGCCGCTCACCATGACAACGACAAGTCACTATAGCAGCTCGTATTTGTGAGCATCGTTGGATTGAAAACAGGCCGACAGTGATTCCAGTAATAATGCCAGTGTGAATAGTTTTAGTAGAGTCTGAGTCCTCGGTGTAGAATTTAGTCAGTGAGCTGTCATTCCTTTTCACAGCAGCCATATTGACATAAAATAGTAGGGTAAACACAGGTTTAACGCTGCAGTAGGTAACTTTCAGTAGTACATGAGACAGATAATCTGTGAAAAGGTCAGGTTCCTATGGCTCGTTCTAGCACTCTCGCATTTGCATGAATCCACCGGGCCTGAATGAAAACAACCATCAGAGCTGAGAAAGCTATAAAGACGCTTTGGGTTGGAAGCTTGAACATAGTTGATTGCTGAGTCTAATTTCCAGGGTCTCGAAGTGTCTGTATTTGACGCCCAGGGAAGGAGACTCAACAATGAACTATCTTTCTTGGCTCTGATTGGTTGTTTTTATTCTGGCCCGGTGGATTTTTGTAAATGCCATTAGGAGTACTAGTATGAGCCACAGGAATGGGATTTTTTCACAGATTATCTGTTTTATGTGCAACTGCCCGGATATAGTGGAAGTTTCAGCAAATATGACAAAAAATATTTTTATAAAAACTCCATACTCCAGCTTTAATTTATTAAATTAATTAAGGTTCAATTTAGTGTAGCAGAGCCTTACTGGTGAGCCAACATGCACAGTAGCAGTCAAAGCTCAAAGGGCTGAGTCAAGCCCTTTAATCGGACCACAACTAAGCCTTGTTGACATCTCTGACTTCCTCATCTGGCATCAACTTACTCCCCCGTCCTCTCCTCCCTTCCACATCTCAGCCCTCTCCCTTCCTTCTCCACCACCATCTCTTTTCTTTCCTCCCTTCTAATACTTCCTCTCTGTGTCTGATCCTCAAAATTTTATCCAGTAAAGTCTGGAACTGTTCAGGAAGTTCAGCTCAGGAAGCAGTATTAGGGGTGGTCATGACATTGTAGAGTCATAAAATGCTTTCATTTACATCTGTACATTTACTGTACTCATCAAAATGGCTAATGGTGGAAATATTCACATGCAGCTTTTCCGGTAGCTTTTATTTTCATTTTTTTCAATTTAAATTTTAAATTTTATTCAAAACATAAACTAGTCAGCAGACTGAATACTGGGAAGTTTCCAGAGGAGATGGGTCGAGGACAGACGACATGTCAGCTCTTTTACATGGTAATGAGAGGCCAGAACACACAAGCACATGGAATTCTGAGACCAACTGCACACAGATATTGACACAGACAGCTTGTCTCATTCTTTCTCCTTCTTTCACAGAGAAAAATTCTCTGTCCTCCAAAGGACACAAAGACAGACACACCTACTGTATATTTAGAGGATTTCTTCTCTTACCACAAACTTGTCAAGCCCCGTGCTTCCAGCATTAGACACGAAAATGCCTGAATTGTGTGAGAAGTTGAGTCTTTCTGGCCTCCGATGGAAAGTGGTCCTCTCGGCCTCTCCACAGTCCATATAGAGACGCACCTCTTCATGCTCCACCACCAGCTGACAAACAGATCAAATAAACTCATTTATTGTAGTGTTTTATGATTGAATTTCTAGTTGCCATCAACAAAATAGCTTTTTTTCCTTTATATTTTTAAGAAACAGTTGCAAAGATTAAACTTGATACTATTTTGGGGGAAATATTGTCAAAGTAAATAAAGAGTGAGTAAAGTCATTGTAATAAATGTAAAAAAAAACCCAACAGATTAACACAAATAGTGACCATGCTATATTTACATTTTTCGAATTTGTTTTTAACTCAAAAAACAACACTTACAATTCTCTGATTTGCAGTGGAAACTACCATGCAGTGCTAGTAATGATTTCACACTTTTTAGATATTTTAGGACACAAATGCAAATGTCTTGATGTTCTTGGCAAGCAATTTATCTATGGTTAAAACTTTACTGATTTAGACAAATTTAGAGAAAGAAATATCAGATAAAAGTCTGACAAAGCATTTGATGTCAGCTCTCAAAACTTCATACTTTCTGACACTATATAACAAATATATTAGTTAATGTTCAATACCTATCAACTGTAAATACAATATGCAAAAAATAGAAATTAATTTATAATGTAATCATTTTTAGATGATGTGGAGTATAGAACATTTTTAATAATAGGTCTGTATCAGCTGAATATATCCCTTTAATCCTACCATTTGTGATTTATGTGTGTATGTAACGCTCACCGTGAATCGTGTCCACTGGTCTGTCATATCCGGGACACTGAAGGAAGCAGCTTTGTGGCTGTGGGAAGCTTGCTCTCTGTCAGTGTAGTACAGTAAGATGCTCTGCAGGCCCCCACGCACCGGAGTGAGGGCCAAACCCAGCTCCACCACCTTCTGACGGGCATCTGTGATGGCAAAGAGCACGCCTCCTCTCGGAGTGGTTGGACGCACCTGGAGTACGGGCAGACGACATCAGAGGTTATATAAATATATATATAAAGCTATATAAAGCTTATTGTTTTGGAATCTTGCTCCCATTATATTAAGATTACAGTGATACCAGAAGGCATATACAGTGATATGTGCCACACAAGTTCCAGTACCTGGACCTGGATATGATGTCTTGCCTTATCATCAAATTTCCACAAGGTGGCAACATAGTGTCACTTTATAGCTGACCATAAAGACTTCTTTTACATAGAATAAAAGGTACATGCAGTGCTTCATAGCACGTTTAGTCTGAATCACACACACACACACACACACACACACACACACACGTGTATCTTGACCAGTGCATTCAAAACCACAGTGACCCCTTTAAAAAACAGAATGACAGCATGAAGGAGGTTTAAAAGGTTGAAGAGACCAATTCTCAAGCGTTACCGTGACGATGATGGCAAAGTCCCTGTAGAATGACCCTGGCACGAAGGTCTTGGTAAGCCGGCCAATGTTGGCATCGGGCCCGAAGTTGTAGGCCGGAAAACCCTCGTAGCCAGGAGTGAAGGAGACGAAGGGAGGGAGGGGGACGCCGATTAACTCCGTCAGGTCCAGATGACCTCCAGAGCCTCGCTCTGACAGAGACAGAAACAAAGTCAAAATGCTTAAAAGATGGCTCTTTACATGTGTTTGATGTGTAGCCTAATGCAGATTATTTTCTCTCATGTGACCTTTTAGATTGATGATTTATAAGCATTTTTACAATATTACTTATTGCTTGTTATTTCCCCAGTGGGATTACTTAACCGAAACATCCACCTGTAAGTGAACCTTATGTCCAGGGTGCACAGAAGCTACTCTGGCAGCTTCCTTTGTTTGCTACTTGTGTGTTGCTGGTTCATACAAGACATTAGAGTAAGGAAGAGATGCAACGCAATCATCTTGACATGGCTTTAATTTGACTTGATCTGATCCAGATCCTGCCCACGCCTCGCTGCTCTGCCCCGCATGGACATAATCCTCTGAAACAGAAATGCACACACAATGGCTAGCAATTAGAGTATTTAGTGTGTATGTGAAGAGATGGCTTCACATTCCCTTGATTCCCTCCACTATGAGGCCTACCTCCCGTAGAGAAAAACTCTCACCTCAGCATTCCTGCCAGGCTCACCCCTGCTTCCTATATCTCTGTCATGCACACACACACAGCTAGAAATGCATTTGCATACACACACACATCAAACGCACATCTCACTCACGTGAACACACATAAACCCCAGACCAGACTAGACAGGCCAACATTTGGGGGTCTCTAATTCATCAACCTGACCAAGTGGAAACATACATGATTAGAGGGTTTAAGGAGTGTGTGTGTGTGTGTGTGTGTGTGTGTGTGTACCAGTTATACCACTACAAGTGGATCTCTGCACATTTACACATTGTTGCAAACACAGGTGGGCCCTCAAGATGTGCATACAAAATACACACAAACACACCAAATCCCTCACACCTCCAGTCCAGATGTGAAGTCATTAGTGCTCTGTAATGACTGCCCTGGGAGAACTCATGCTACAACCGGCGTGCTGTTCGTGGCCACTGACTGCAGAGGTTTAACTTTTCATTCCTGCACTGTGACACACATTTGAAACTAATGGCTGAGATTACTGTTAGAACCTGGTCTGAGACTGACTTGGCAACAGCAACGTGGTGGTGATTACCAGTCACAACTTGGATAGTATTTCAAGATACGGAAGGTATCACACTATTATTGCTCGCCAAAAGAGAGGTCAAATGTATGGGTTGTGAGAAAGGGCAAATAAACTAGAAATCTCTAAACACAGTTCATTTTGTGGTTTCAGTCCATATTGAAAATAGACTCAGTGACAATATGCCAGTCTTGTTTTACCTCAAAGTGTTTAAAGATTTCAGGCTGAATGGGTAATCTGTGTAAACCGGATAACTATTTTACAACAATCCAACAATTATAAATGAATATAATAAATTAATTTAGAATTTAACACTCTTAAATGTGTGATTTAAAAGTAGCTTTACCACACCAAACACACTGTAGAGCCAGGAACTGACATGTTAGCTACTGCTATTCTATTACAGGAAAACGCTAGGATGGAAAAAGTAAGTAAATTTAGCTTTATCCAAGGCCAGCTGCAGCTATCTCACCCAATCTCAACAGCTAGCTCTAACTGGATTTAGCTGAATGCCAAACTGGTTTAACAATGAATTAACATGCTAACATGTTTTCTTTCTTTTTTTGGCATAAAAGCTTTATGTTAAAACAAATTTTAATAAGCAGGAGGCTTTTCAAAAGGTGATAAACCCTGTGTAGATTGCCCAGCGCCAAATAGCAGAGAGAAAGAGTTTGCAACAAGCTGGTGAATATAGCGGAGGCTCAAGAGCCATATATTCACCTCAGGAGACCAGACCAGAGCTAAAAGAAGAGTGAATATTGGACATACATCAGATGTCCAGAAACACAACTCCCAATGAATGCTAACGTTACAACATGTTAAAATGCTCAATTCCAAGTGAAAGTCCAACATTTTACTCCGCCTAAATACCAGGGTAGTTTTAGTAAAATACCTCAAAACTGTGTGACAGTGTTTGAGTAAACTAGTTTGGAGTCCCACATGCACACACGTGTAACAATGGCAGGGAGGTCCGTGGTCAAATCCCATTGTAATAACATCATGTGATGTGGATTTAAAAGTAGATACTTCATGATTCACATTGACACAAATATCTTTGTTGACTTATTCCATAAACAGACTATCAATAGGACAGTTTAAACCAATAAGCCAATCAAACAGTGTATTAGTCCATCGCATTCATGTCTTCAGCCAAACACCAAATTGAGCTGTGTGCCAGTCACCTAATAACTCACTCATTTTGCGTCACATTTTTCCACTCTAACTCCCTCCTCCTGAACCTAATCCTCATCATGTTGGCCTCATGGATTCTTGATCAGCTTGTGGCGACTTATAAAAACAATATTAACAACCCCCCTAGCGTTGCCACGTATAACCTTTTAAACCCACCTCGACCCTGCTGCGCGACACAAAAGCTTGCCGCTGCTCAGCCCACTCTCTTTCTCAGAGCTCTAAAAGATTTAATGGAGAGCACATCCGGATACGCCTTTCACATACCAGCACGCTACAGAAATGGGGGATTCTGTTCTGATTTGTGAGATACACTAAGACATGATAGGAGTTAAGATATCAGATGTGAGTTAAAGATTACCTGGTGTATATAGGGGACTGAACCCTTCAGCCATCAACATGACCTACTGAACCACTGACAAAGCAATAGTAGGTTAGTAAGTGTGGTGGATTAATGACACTATAAAGAGCAGTAGAGAGTAAAAAATCTCTCTTCTCACACAGCTTATGCCCCCTTTATATTTACAGAAGGCGCGGGTCCTCTTCCATTGAGTCCGCCACTGCCATGTTTCTACAGTAGCCCAGGACGGACAAATCAAACACCGAGTCTTAGTTTTTCCATCATGCTTGGATAAGATTCAGTGATTGGTTGCAATCAGTTATAATCAGCTTCACCACCAGATGCTACACAGTAGTCCTTTAAGTGTCTTGCTTAAAGGCACACTAATCAGTATTTTATATTTACAGTAGTTTAAATCACTATGTGTATTGTAAAAGAGGTTGGTCGTAGTGAAGAACCTACATAGAATTATTACCTGATTTAGCTCTATGGAGCATTTTAGTGTCTTTTAGCTAATTGTTTTAGTTTTACAGCCTGCAACTTTTCTGTTTTTGTTCACTCTCATTAACCTTGTAACAGGGAGTTGTTTTTAAACAAAAAAGCTCAGATAAACCTACTATACACTACCTGCCGGGCACCAAACGGTAGACAGACAAAGTTTGCCACTAGCAGGGTAACATAGTGGAGCATTTAGCAGCTAAAGAGACCCAAGTAGAACTAAAAGAAGAGTGGATATTAGAAATACATTCATCAGGTAGACACAAACAACTCCAAATCAATGCTAATGTTGCTCTCTGTCAACTTTATAAAGTGCCAATATGTAAATGTTGTGTTTATAGCTTGTTTTTGCCGCCTAAAGTGGACCAAAAAAATAATCAATGCCGGGCGATACAATGCAACTCAACATAAGATGCCTTACATGAGAGGTAGCATATATAGACACTGCTTCCTTTAAAGGGTCACAAACCAAATTGGTTTGGACTGATCTGATCTCTAAGAACGGTTTGGAAAAGAAGTCTGAAGTGAAATTATTAAGTTTTAAATGCCTCCTCTCTTTAACATCCCGGTAACACTCACCACTCTTCCAGTGTTTCAGTGCTTTGTACTGGACCTTGGCTTTGCTGCCTCCACCTGCGTTCTCCTCTGGAGGTAAGGTCCAAGGCTCTGCAGTGCTCTGGCCAAAGACTGACAGCCCTGGGTTTGGTGTCGGGGTCAGCACAGACATTTCTGTCGGAGTGTTACCCTCCAGAGTTTTCTCTATCACCCCGTCCTCTGTTACCATCCACTCTGTTGTCCCTGGGGTGTCAGAAGGGCCCAGAGAGGTAATGGATGGAGAGGGGATGGAGGGAGGAATGGAGGGAGGAATGGAGGCAGGAGAAGAGCCGGTCCCAGTTTTAGGGCTCGCCCAGATGAAACTCCACCACTGGGCTTGTACGGGAGAGAAGGGAAGGAGGAGGAGGAAGAGAGCAAGAGAGAGGCGAAGGGCTCCCATCCTCTATCTGTGTCTTGCATGAATGTGCGAACACGCCAGTTCAGTTAGCTGCAGCTATTTAATACTGCACACGTGCAAACAGGCATATAGGCAAGACACGATGCTCAGTCTTCAGTTATGGAAGGATGCACATACAGAGTCTCACAGAGTTTGTAAAAGTAAATCTCAGTAATCCAGGAGATCCAGGGAAGCAAAGAACATTTGAGGAACAAACTTTCAGCTTCTTACTGCCCTCTCTGTTGTTCCTTCGCTTTTCTTCTCCTCTCTCGTTATGTCCTCCCTTTATCCGTTCGTCTCTGTCTCTCTGTTTGTAACTCCCTGACATCTCTCTCTTTTTCTCCTCTCCCTCCCCTCCTCTCTCCCTGTGTAATTACAAACTCCCCCTCCTCTGGCACTCTACAACACAGCAGACTTGATTTTCTCTCCCCTTTTCTCTTAGACAGGCAGATTAGAGATCTAGTTCACTATTCCCTCCTCCTCCTCCTCCTCCTCCTCCTCCTCCTTTCCTCTCAATCCTGATGTGGTGTTGTGTGCTGTGTGGTGTGTGTGTGTGTGTATGTTCTTTGGGTCATCCTTGCGGCCTCTAGGTCTCCCCCTCATGCCACATGTATACTGCATCAAGTCAAACACACAGACACACAGATTTGGGATCATGTGCATCATTTATAATGCTGCAGGTGCAAAACTTGTCAGTCATCTTCTGGCTCATATTCCCATTGAAGTGTTTACCAGCTGATAACCAGCAGAAATGTCAAAACACCTTAAGGAACATGATTCATTTAAAAAGAGCCATTTTCTTCACAACTAAACATTCATATACAGGTCTCTACTAATGATGAGGCTTGTTGTGAGATATCCAAGAAAATACCATGTAAAACACTGTAGGCACTAAGAAGGGAGCTTTATTAG